AATATTACTAAAACACTAAAAACATACTAAAAATACTACTAGAACACAAAAAGCATACAAAAATTTTTTACTAAAATACTAAAAATGCTACTAAAACAGTAAAAAACAAGGCATCAACGTTGAAAAAGAAATACATCTACACTGTGGTTCGGTTAGCAGTGAGGTTCTTGCAGCATCATGGTTCTGTTCTGCTAGCAGCATGGTCTTGTTAGCAGTTTAGCAGGTCCGGTCAGCAGCTTGATGGTAATAACAACTGCAGCTGCCCTCACAGACCACAGTCCAGAACCGGGTCCGGTAAACCGTGAACATCCAAGGTTTCCTCGCGGAACCGAACGGGTCCGTAGGGTTCGGTCCATGCAGGCAGATGGAGGATCCTGTTAGCACCGTTAGCAGCTTGATGATAATAACAACCGCAGCAGCTGCCCTCCCAGACTGACCTCCAGAACCGGGTCCGGCAGACAGAGTTCTGTTGCTTAAGTCCACGGACGAGTCAAAATTTAATAAGTGGAGTTAGTTTGAAATACTCTAGTTTGATGAAAATATTATCAGGACACTGAAACATGTTCGCTATTCTGCTTTTCTTTGTGCACAGCCAGTCCTGCTCCGGCTGACCTGCACCCTGTGAGTGAGAGTGAGGGGTGCGGATGGGGGGCAGTACGTTTCGCTGGTTTCGGCTCACACATATCCGGTTTAGGAACATTTAATATTGTGTTTGATTAAAATTTAACTCTAAATCGTTTACTTTTCACAGTGACACGTGTCTGCTCGCACTGCAGACCTCTCTGCTGTGATGCAGCTACACTTCACATAATCTCTGTCTTAAACAGAAGCTACATAAAATCCTGTGAGGTCCATTTTAGATAAAAGCTCCAAATCAGAAAGCTGAAGGTCACAGAACTTTATTTTTGTTCAAGAAAAGAGAGGATCCCACCAGAGCACCGATACTTCTATCTCTTTAATTAACAGGATACATTATTTATATTCTACACTCATCTTATTTATATACAATAGTTATCAACGTATTTCTGATTTATCTTTAGCAGATGCAGACTTATAATAATAACAATAACTTTATTTATAAAGCCCTTTAAAACCACCACAGCTGCAACAAAGTGCTTTACATGTAAAATCAAGGACGTTTAAAACACATAAAAGGAATAAAAGCTGTCGGGCAGAGCAGGTTTCAGGCTGTGCCGACAGCCAGGGAATAAGAATGGGTTTGTAAGAGTTTTAAAAATGGACAGTGATGTGACTCCATAATCTTGGAGCGGCTACAGAAAAACATCTGTTCCCACAAATGGACACAAATTATTCTCTAATAAGAGTTTTTTGTTACAAATCGATGAGCTGATGTTCTGCACAGATGACAGGAAGTTTCCCCTCAACTGTAGAAAGGATAGTCAAGAATAAGTGAATTTACTCGTTTTAAGTTAGGATTTTATAGACGTGTCTGTTGAGACGGCGGTGTTTATTCTACATACGTGTTTCCCAGACGCTGGACGACAAACCAGCGTACACCGAGGAAGAGCTCCAGCGATTTGAGGCCGAGCTCAGGGACAAAGAGGAAGAGCTGAAGAGGAAGGCGGAGACTCTTCGTCAGGAGCAGGAGCTGCTGAGGGAGAGAGGCAAAGCCTTGGAGGCCCAGAAAAGAGAGTACCAGCAGGTAACAAGGAGAAAAGGGGACGACTGAGTCAGAATGTGAGCTTCAAACATTTTTATTTATTCATTTTTGAATCCAGGCAGTGTTAGAAATGTCTCAGAGGCAGAAAGAGCAGCTGGAAGTGGACCGGCAGCCTCCTGCAGGTCCGAATGGAGAGCTCCAGTTTCAGCCACAGACAAATAAACCTGAAGGTAAAATTCTCTCGAGAACCCGTTCAGCTCGGTCGAAGCTGTTTCTTTCAACTTAATCATCTTTATCTTGCAGAGGTCAAAGGTCCAGGAGAAGCCCAGAACAATCTGCCAGCAGAACCTCCACAAAACCTGCCCATCCACGTTTAACGCGCCGTCTTTTAACAGCGTCCGCACCAACAGAAAGGCTCGTACGTTTTAATGAATCGTTTGAAATGCGTGACGCACGTTTCAGTTCACACCAACCTGCTTCTTGGTTTCAGCGTCCTGTGCTGTGTGTTCATCTCAGTGGTCTATATTAGATTAAAGGTTAAAAAACACACGAGCTGTTAGTGCATGCGTGCTCATGTATCTTCAGTTTCAGTGAAGCTTTTCAGTCATGCAACGTCCTCCTCGCTGTGAAATCACAAATAAAATCTTCATTGAAACCACCACTTCTGAGACTAAAATGTTGATTGGGAGGAACCAAAAAAAAAAACTAAAATGCTTTTGTTAAAGATAAAACTTTATTTACTGTAAAAACTGATCTTTTTTCCCCTCTTGTAATAACTTCTATATGGACAACTGTTTCTAGTCCTGAATTCCATCTTCCTGTAAAGATTATCATTTTATTTATGCTGTTGTAGCCTTGTGTTTTGATTGGAAGTATTAGAGAATGAACATTAATTCAACAACAGAATTAGTTTTTACCGTCCAGAAGAATTCACATTTTAAGGCCTGCATGAGGGCGTAAAGGAGGAGGACAAATGGATCCCTCTGGGAGAGCGGGAAGAAGACGGGAGACATTTGGAGAGCAGTTTTGGTGATGAGTCTAGAAAATGGAAAGTGGACAAAATGTGTGAAAGACAGAAGCTCGTTCTCCAAAGATGTTTCCATTTTCTCTCGTGTAAAAGGATCACATTGCTTTTCACATCTATGCGTATGGCTATTTGCCATCTTTTGCAGCTCCTTTACTTAAACTCCAGAAAATAGTTTAATACCAAAAAAGTCTTCAAATGGAAATAAATGAAACCTTCCCAAAAAATGACAGGATTTTCAGAATGCTAATGTATTTCAGAATTGGGAGTAAATTAAACAAATTCGTACTGAACGCAAAAAAAAAAAAAAGTGTCATCCTCGCAAGAATCAGAGCAACAATTGTTAATTTGTAAAAACCTGGAGAAGTTTATAGATTAATCAGAAAGTTTAGGTTTCGTGCTGCAAATCCATTTAGGTAGCTTTGAAGTATTTTGAAATGTTAATAAAAAATTGCTTTATCTTTTTTCAATGTTAGCACCTTTGTAGCATAAAAAAAAAAAAAAAAAACTTTAAAAAAGTTATAATCTATCATTCCAGAATAAAAATGTAAACAATTGGGGGGGATCCGCTCTTCCGGTGTAGACCGGAAGTGCACTTTTCTGCACGGTTCCGTGTTTTTCTGGAGATTCCTCTGTGTTGGAACAATGCCTCGGGGAAACGACATACCAGAATGAATCAGAGCGAGAATTGTCGATTTGCACAAATCAGGGTTAGGTTAGTGATGAGCAAATGAAGCTTTTATGAAGCAATGAACCAGACGGACCAATTGTTTCAAAAATAGGTTCATTTGTTGAAGCTTCAGTTACAGTGACCTCTTGTGGCAATTTGCAATGCTGCTGTCAAATTAGGTGTCATAGTGTTAGGTGTGTTTGTTTTTTGTGTTTGCATTTTATGTTTGCGTGTTTTTGAGTTTGCATCATACACGTGTTTGTTGCGCGTTTCGGCGTTTGCTGCGCGTTCGCACCTGTCGGCCACCGTAGGTTTCAGAGCGAAACCCCAGCAGAAAGAAGTGTACACCACACGTGTTCACTAAAGGCAGCTGCAGTCTCAAGTTTTTCCTGCACAAACAAAAGATACAATAAATGGCAGAGAGTTTTGTGCTGCTCAGCCTTTTGCATGTAGGAGCAAGCCAACAACATCCTTGGTCCAAAGGAACGTTCCTGTATTCACCAGTTTGGATCACTGAATGCAGCTGAGCCAGGTCAGGGATGCCAGATAAACATAAATATATATATTTTAACACCTTTTCTATGCACATGTTCATTAAACACAACACACATTCAACCTTTATTTAGACAGATTAATCCCATTGAGCCTCGGGGACTCATTTACAAGAAAGACCCGATTTCTTAAAGGGTGATGACAACAATAGACTCATTAAATAGGCTTAGGTATACAAATTTAAGTTTATCTTTTTTTTTTCTTTGTTTTTTTGCAAATCAAAACAGTCAAAACAAAATAGCAACCAAAAGAACAATCAAGAGGAATAGTAGCAAAATACATCTCATCTTACTACACCCTCACTCAGCGCATGTGATAGTTTTGGGTCGAAATACAATCAGTTTAAAGCAACAATACAATAGTTAATATTTTCTTACCTGGCAACCATCCCCAGCATGGAAACAACAGTGTTTCCATGTGAACAGGCTTTTTTTTTTTTTTTTGAACGTTTATTGGCCCCAATAAATGTTGACAAAACACTAATGTTTCCGGGTCAACAGGGCGTCAGACTGTTAAACTGGTTACTGAATTGCTTCAACTGGTTGACGTATTAACACACAACTAGTAAAAGACTGTTGTACTGGTTAACTAGTGGGCATCGAACTACTCAGAGTTCATGACTATAGGTGAGTGCAGGAGTGCCACCTGACCGGTAAACCGAGAGCTTGTTGCGGCTCAGCTTCCTCTTCACCATAACAGACTGGCACAAAGTACGCAATACTGTGGAAACTACACTGATTTGTATGTTAATTTCATTCTCAGTTCTCAGTTGTGATCAAAACTCAGAGACACTTAGACTCAACTTGAGGCTGGAGGGACTATGTTTCTCGGCTGGCCTGGGAACGCCTCGGGATTCCCCCGGAGGAGCTGGACCAAGTGGCTGGGGAGAGGGAAGTCTGGGCCTCCCTACTAAAGCTGCTACCCCGGCGACCCGACCCCGGATAAGCGGTAGAAAATGGATGGATGGACTGAAACGATAAGATCGTCTAAGCCTAATGGCATTAAAGGCTGCGGGCGATATGCATTCAGCGAACGTTCGCTGGTTCACTTCTGACTTTGATTAACCTTCAGGCAACAAAGCAGGTTCCACATTTCTGAGGGAAGCAAACTAGCGTCTAACAGTTTTTGATTTAATGTACTTCAGCATAACTGAATAGGGGGAGTGGTGGTGCAGAGGTTAGGGAAGGTGGACCTGTGGTTGGAAGGTCACAGGTCCAACTCCCTGGACTGACATCCAAATGTGGGTGGGAACGGTGAAACACCTGCATCCACTTTCATTCACCCCACCCTGAGCCCTTAACCCCCACCATCTGCTCCCCTGGGCACCCTAGATGGCAACTCTGCTCCACACAGAGGGCTGTGGTAGCTCGGTGGTCTGGTTGTGTCAGGAAGGGCATCCGGTGTAAAAGTAATCGCCACGTATTCGTGCGAGTTAGTTCTCTGTGGCGACCCCTGAACAAGGAGCAGCCGAAAGAAAAAGAAAAAAACTTCGGTTTAACTGAAAAATAAACCACAAAATTGATTTCAAATGTGTGAAAGTGATAAATGTGTTCTCACTCAGGTTGGCGGGGCTTTTGGTGAACCCAGCTTCTCCCCTCCTGAGAGCCACCCACCGTCACTGTCCCCAGGAGACGTGCTCGTCTTCTCGTTGTCCTCTGGACGACTCCGATCACTGTCTTCAGAGGGACATTTCTCTGACCCGCTGACTTTTAATGACCCCACCTCCCCAGGTCATGAGGTCGGTCTTATCAAGGGGGGAGGGGGGTCTTGAAGTTGAGTGTTTTTTATTAAAACATTGTATTTCTTAGATTCATCTTCAAGTTTTCGAGCACCAGCAAGAAAGTTTGAAATATCTCTAATCAGAAACGAGTAAAATAAAAGTAAATCATTGGTTTCTTTTGGTGTTGGTCGAGTTGATGTTTCATCCGAAGGAGGTGCTGAAGCTGTCGACACATTGTTGGTGAAGACGTCCCAGTTTCTGGAGCCTCACTGCTCGAATCTGACTCAACGTTTGGTATTGATGGAAACTTTGTGTAAAAGTTATATCACCTGTATTTAAAAGAGTCCACTGAGGTGGTTCATCTGAGTAGGATGTCTCCTGATGGAGGTTTTTCCTCTGGGGCGAGACTCCGGGACTCTTTGGAACGCCTTGGGGTCCAGGAGCAGCTGGAGAGAGGGAGAATGACTTTTACAGCAGAAAAGTACACCTGAACTGAGATGTTTGGCCTTGACGCACAGCAGGAAGCTTCGTGAAGCTCAGACACTGCTTTCAGCAGAACACCTGATACCAACTGTGAAGCACGGCGGTGGAAGGTTGATGGTTTGGGTTTGAAGCCACATGACCACAGTTGATCATGAAATCTTCCATTTTCCAACAACTTCGAGTTTAAAACAAGATATTTGTATGAAATAATGTAGTTAAAACACTTCCTTCAGTCTGCCTCTAGGTCAAACTCGGTCTTTTACTTTTAATGGAGTATTGTTACTTTATGGAGGAGCTGCGTATTTCTGCCCTCGCTCAGCACAGCCTCGGTGCAATCCCTGAAAGAGGAAACGAGGTTGTAATTCTGTAAATGGAGCTTCTCTGTTTGCTGCTGAGCTTTTAGAAACAAATCTCACCAATAAATAAATCAGTTCGCCTCCTGCTCCATCCTCGGCTCCTCTGTTTCTTCTTATGGCTTTAAATTCTCAGACGATGCTGTTTAAAGTTCATCGTCTGATTTTATTTCTACCAAAACTGTAAACTATGTTGACACGTTTCTACAACAAACAAGCAGGGTGTTCATTTTGCTGCTTCAGAGCGGTCTTTAAACTTGTTCTGCACACTTTGTGATTTCGGCTCATGAACCTTCGGCTCATTCAGGAGCTGGGTGCGCTGACTCGTGTTTGCACTTAAATGTTATTATTTTTTTATTTGTAACTAGTTTCTCCACAACCCCCCCCCCTCTTCAATACATTCAAAAACTTTGCTTTCTAATCAGACTGGCTCTATTAATATCTGTTATTTTTAGCTAATGTTCTGCTACTAATAGCTAGATTTTTACCTTTAGCTTACTGTTCTGCTACTTTTAGTTTTATTTTTTTTTGTTGTTGCTACTTTTAGGTTTTAGGAATCATTCTATATTTGTTAGCTAATATTTTTCTACCTTTACCTTCTTTGCTACTTTTAGCTAGTGTTATTTGTAGCTTTAGCTATCCATCCACCATTATCTTGACTGGCATCTTCCTTTTCAGGTTGCGGGGGTCACTGGTGCTCATGTCCAGCCATCAGCTAGCTTTTGCAAGTTTTAGCTTTTAGCTAGTCTGTTACATTTCACCTGTCTTTGTTACATTTTACTTTTAGCTAGCCTTAAACTACTTTTAGCTAACTCTTTGCTGTTTTAGCTAACATATTGGTACTTATCATTTTTGCTAG